AGGAGGTGGTAGTAGTTGTTGTTGTTATTAAGCAATTCTTACTATCAACATTTGTCTGTATACAGGTGTACATGCACGAATATGCACAGGTATACTTCCAGTTGCTATGGGATTCAAATCTGCCTGGAAACTTCAGCTCCAATGCTGAATGCCTTCCACGATTTTGATTTTCTGATGGAAAGGGGATGCACTCTGTACATGGCTGGAGATACCAATTTGATTACTGCATTACTTCCATGGGAATTCATCTCTGGCATTGAAAGGAAATATAAAGTGAATCATGCTATAGAGCTTTGATCTCAACTTAAGACAAACTCATCTCCGAGGCCACTTCAACACTGCCATATAATTCAGATTATCAAAGAAGACAATAAACATTATGTGCTTTGAAGTGGATTATATGAGTCTACACTGCCAGATAATCCAATTCAAAGCAGATAATTTAGATTTTATATGGCAGTGTAGAAGTGGCCTGTAAGATACAAATCCCCACTCCACACTTTCTTGGGAGTATAAGGAAAATGGAACAAATATATAACGTACCCTTCAAAAAGATTGATAAATTCCTTTCAACATTTAATAAACTATGGTGATTATTTAAAATTATTTAAAATATTTAAATATTATTTAATGTATTATAATTTTAAATATTATTTAAAATTGTTTAAAATAAAAATAAATTTGAATGCTAAATAAATACATTTATTTCGAAGACTGGGGGCTCTTCCACACAGCCCTATATCCCAGAATATCAAGGCAGAAAATCCCACAATATCTGCTTTGCAATGGGTTATCTGAGTCCACATTCAGATAATGCGGGATATTCTGCCTTGATTTTCTGGGATACAGGGCTGTGTGCAAGGGCACTAAATGTCATCATAGTGATTTAATCAAGAGTTACAAATTGCATAATAAATTATAATTTTATGTAAGGTGTTGAAATTCTTGTCCCCGAGCAGCAATGCACTGCTCACGTTGTCAAAGAATAGAGTTGCAACCCTCACTTAAAGTTTCTCATTAATCCAATTAAAAATGTATACATTTTCAGAAAAAGTCAATAAACACATCCATAATTAAAAACTGTTAAGGATGCATACATTGTTGGGAGACAACCCGTATTTTGCATCGGGAGGGGATAAGAGGCACAGAAATGAACCTATTTATGTATTGGATTTTGACTATTTTTCTGTCAGAATGGTTTCCAGGGTGATGTACAACCATTCAAAACGGTATCATTAAAACAATCAAGGTTTTCAACAGTATTAAAATGTCTGGGGCCACACAAAAACAAGCATCCCGTGGCACTTCATAAACATTAACAGGTGTCTCAGGGAATTAATTCAGCAGCAGAAATTATAGCACTCTTTATTTATCTATAACAGAGACACTGTTTTTCCTTCCTGGCCAGGAGAGGGAATGTCTACCAAATTTTATACAGGCAGTCCCTGAGCTACAAACATCAGACTGACAGACAAATCATAATTACAAAGGGGGTTGAGACAACAGTGAATGAGAGAAATCTATCTTTCAGTAGGGAAATTCACTCCTGAAGGAGTTATCATGGGGAAAAGGGGTTTCCACTCAAGCTTTGTCCCCAATCCTTGTTATCACAACAAGCCACATTTTTCAAAATCCAGTTATCACAGGGACCAAAAGTGAAACTGGTTTTTTTTTTTTTCTAACAGGAGCACAGACAGCAAAACAAATACCCTTCTCTAGGCTATCCAAAGCATATATATATTGCAGGAGGTACACTTAAAAATGTATTTGTTCTGACTGACAAACAAATTCAGATTAAGAACAAGCAGCCTACAGAACCTACCTAATTCGTAACTTGGGGACTGCCTAAATATATGTATACACATACACATACATGGCTGAGAGCGAATTTGTTATTTTTCCAAATAAAAAGCAGAAGTGTATGCTTATGTGTATGTATGTATATCTTGTGTGCTTGTTTATATCTATAAGTAACTATACCTATATGATTCTCTGTGTGTGTGTGTATATATATATATATATATATATGATTATGTGTGCATATGTATATACAGGTATGTATATGTGTGTGTGGAAGTATGTGTATATATGTGTGTTTGTGAGTGTGTATATATCACTATATAAAATATGTTTCTATATGTGATGTGTGTATATAATTTTTTGTGTGCTTATATATCTGACTGGGTGTGTATGTGTGTGTGTATATATTTGAGATGATTACATGGTATAGGTGTGTGTTTGTGAGTGTGTATGTGTGCATATATATATATAACCATATATAAATTTGTTTCTATATGTGGGGTTTGTTGGGCTGTATGTGTATATATGTATGTTTACATATCTGACTCTGTGTGTGTATACTAGCCATCCCCTGCCATGCGTTGCTGTGGCCCAGTCTGTGTATATGTGTTGTGTGTGTGTATATATGTGTTTGCATGTGTGTGGTTTTGCACATGCATTGTAATGTATTTTTATTTTTGGTTTTTAAGTCTCTTCTACTGTGTTTTTCAATGTTTTTATGAGCGATAGTCACTTGTTGGCCTGATAGGTGTATTGTGTCCGAATTTGGTGTCAATTCGTCCAGTGATTTTTGAGTTATGTTAATCCCACAAACGAACATTACATTTTTATTTATATAGATATATATGACTATGTGTGCATCTGTATAAAACGGTATGTGTGTGTATATGTAAATTTGTGCGCCAGTTGGGAAGTCAGATCTGGCCACAGTGGTCCACGCTCTTGTTACAACCCGAATAGATTACTGCAATGCACTCTACGTGGGGTTGCCTTTGAAGACTGTTTGGAAACTTCAATTAGTCCAGCAGGCGGCAGCCAGATTACTCACCGGAGCATCATACAGGGAGCATACCACCCCTCTGTTGTGTCAGCTCCACTGGCTGCCGATCCAGTTCCGAGCACAATTCAAAGTGCTGGTTTTGACCTACAAAACCCTATACGGCTCTGGCCCAGCGTATCTGTCCGAACGCATCTCCCTCTACGTCCCGCCTCGGAGTTTAAGATCTTCTGGGGAGGCCCTGCTCTCGGCCCCACCTCTATCACAAGTGAGATTGGTGGGGACGAGGAGCAGGGCCTTCTCGGTGGTGGCCCCTCGCCTGTGGAATTCACTCCCCGGGGAAATTAGGTCATTGACATCCCTCCTCTTTTAGAAGGAAACTAAAAACATGGATATGGGACCAGGCCTTTGGGTAATCTGGCAGACAGACAAAGGACAATGACGACTAGAATTGATAGGATTTGACAATGTGGAATGAACTTACGGATTCTGAGCTGGCGAACGTTGAGCATTAGATTGGTTTTATTGATTGTGATGTATAATTGATTGTTTTAATTGTGTTTATAATTGCTGTTTATATATGTTTTATCTTATTGTTGTGTTGGCATCGAATTGTGCCTTTTGTAAGCCGCCCAGAGTCCCCCCTCGGGGGTTGAGAAGGGCGGGGTAGAAATGTGCGAAATAAATATATGTAGGTGTGTTTCTCTCTATATGTGTGAGTATTTATATATATATGTGTGTGTGTGTATGTATGGTGTATATGTTTGTTTGTGACTGTGTATATAAAGCTACATAAAAATATGTTCCTATATGGTGTGTGTGTGTGTTGTTTACATATCTGACTGGGTGTGTGTGTATATATATAAAATGATGACTACCTGTGCACCTGTACAAACAAGTATGTATGTGTGGCTGTATGTTTATATATGTCTGTCTGTATATATGTTTTCAAGTTCTTAGTGGGATGGGCATCCCAAGCCACCTTGTCTCTCTCCTGAGGAATCTGTACAAGGACCAAGTAGCAACAGTCAGAACTGACCATGGAACAACAGACTGGTTCAAGATTGGGAAAGGCGTACGGCAAGGCTGCATCCTCTCACCCAACCTTTTTAACTTGTATGCAGAACACATCATGCGATGTGCGGGGCTGGATGAATGCAAAGCTGGGGTGAAAATTGCTGGAAGAAACATTAACAACCTCAGATATGCAGATGACACCACTCTGATGGCCGAAAGCGAGGAGGAGCTGAGGAGCCTTCTAATCAAGGTGAAAGAAGAAAGCGCAAAAGCTGGGCTGCAGCTAAACATCAAAAAAACCAAGATTATGGCAACAAGAATGATTGACAACTGGGAAATAGAGGGAGAAAATGTGGAGGCCGTGACAGACTTTGTATTTCTAGGTGCAAAGATTACTGCAGATGCAGACTGTGGCCAGGAAATCAGAAGACGCTTACTTCTTGGGAGGAGAGCAATGTCCAATCTCGATAAAAAAGTAAAGAGTAGAGACATCAGAATGGCAACAAAGATCCGCCTAGTCAAAGCCATGGTATTTCCTGTAGTAACCTACGGATGTGAGAGCTGGACCTTAGGGAAGGCTGAGCGAAGGAAGATCGATGCTTTTGAGCTGTGGTGCTGGAGGAAAGTGCTGAGAGTGCCTTGGACTGCGAGAAGATCCAACCAGTCCATCCTCCAGGAAATAAAGCCCGACTGCTCATTGGAGGGAAGGATACTAGAGACAAAGTTGAAGTACTTTGGCCACATCATGAGGAGACAGGAAAGCCTAGAGAAGACAATTATGCTGGGGAAAGTGGAAGGCAAAAGGAAGAGGGGCCGACCAAGGGCAAGATGGATGGATGGCATCCTTGAAGTGACTGGACTGACCTTGAGGGAGCTGGGGGTGGTAACGGCCGACAGGGAGCTCTGGCGTGGGCTGGTCCATGAGGTCACGAAGAGTCGGAGACGACTGAACGAATGAACAACAACAAAATATATGTTTTATATATGTGTGTGTATAGTGAATGTGTGGTATATATGTGAGTCCCACGCTCACTGTTTGGTGGGATGACCCTTCCTGTCTTATATTACTAGTGCCAAGGAGGAGGAGGCAGTGGGCCACCCACCCACCTTCCCCTTGGATGCCTGCTGAGGTGTTGAGGTGGGTGCCATCTTGGCGGGGGTGTTCCCCTCAGAAGCGCCGCCTCACCTGGAGGACTCCCCGTGGAAGCTGCCCCCGTCCAGGAGCCGCACTTTGCAGAAGAGGATCCCGTTGACGAAGGGCACCGAGGAGAGCTCGTCCAGCTCCAGCTCCACGCGGAACTTGAACTTCTTCTTCTTCATCATCATGAAGGCCATGAAGGGGAAGGGAAGGAGAGGCCTCAACAAGTCCTGCCCGAAAGGAGGCTCCCTCCTCCCGCCTCTGCCTCTGCTGCTAACCCCCGGCCGGCTCCTCCATGGCCGCCGACGTGTCTTCCTTCGGAGAAGTCCAAGGAGGGGGAAGGAAACAAACAAACAAACAAACCGCCCGCCCGCTCCGCTTCGGCCAAGCGGCGGGGGCGCTGCCACGCAGCGTTTTCCGACACCGTCCTTGCTGCGCCCGCCCGCACCTCCCTCCTCGAGCGCTATAGCCGCCGCCGCCTGCCTTTCAAACCAGCCCGCCTCCCGGCCTCCCCGGGGCGGGACTTTCTCCTGTCAATCAGTCGCGAGGCCCCGCCCTCTGTTGGAGGCCTTCCCCCCTCCCTCTCAGGCTGTGTGGACACTCTGCAGAATTACATTTGGAGCCCTTCCTTCCACACAGCCATATAACTCAGAAGATCAAGGCAGATAATTCACTATATCTGCTTTGGAGTAGGTTCTCTAGGTCCACACTGCCATATAATCCAGTCCAGTGTGGATTTTATACAGTGCCAGATAACCCAGAGTAGCAAGGCAGATAACACTGTTCTACAAATTTTCAGTTTTTCTCTGTGCATAATGAGTACTCTAAAAACAAAAGAACCAATGAACGAAATCACACCAAATTTGGCAAGAAAATGTCTCACAACACAAGGAGTGACCATCACTCAAAAAATTATGATTTTGCCATTTGGGAGTTGTAGTTGCTGGGATTGATAGTTCACCTATAACACTGTTCTACAAATTTTCAGGTTTTCTCAGTTTTGGAAACGAAATGTGCCGTTTCTTAATAAATTTAACATGCTGAATTCAAATATAATAATTAAATGTGTTAATTGGCTCTGGTTTTTATGCAACAGCTATTTCCATTTTCTCCACAATAGGTAATTCGTTAATATTATGATAATGCGCCTAACCTTACTGCATGTATATAAACCATGAATATTTACTAAATTTTAGTCAAATTATATTGCCAATAGTTTATACATGAGAAATATTTATTTAATTAGTCTATTGTTTATGTTTGTGCAGCAAGAAACTATATTAGTAGGCCTAATGCAGTTGAAAAGTCTGAAAGTTTAAATGTCGCTTTAATCGTGACTTTAGTTTATATCCTGTTTGCTTCTCTTGACTTTTCTTTTGTATTCAAGGAAAGGATTGTCCCTTACAATGCTCCAGCAGTAGTCTGACAGCATTGACGGAGTCCATTTACCTTGATATCTTTTTTCCATAGTGCTTTATTTACACACGTGCGAGGCATAACTACAGTAAAAAGAACAATGTAAAACGATGTTTAACGATACTGTCTCAGTCTTCAACTGACTGACCCTCACCGTTCAAAAGTCTGGCCTTATATAGGGCTTTCTGGCTTTTGCACACGGCACTAATACTGTGTCATCAAACTTTCTAGAATATTCTAGAATCTTCCATAGTGTAAGTCACAACATGCATTTTTTCAACCATACGTGATCACGTGATTGCTTATATCATAAAAACTAGAGCCAATATACATTTTTAAATGTCATTTTCGTTTTCAGCACCCCAAAATCATAAAAGAACAACTATTTTCAGGCCCGCAACTTTTTCTCCGTTGAACAGTGTATCCTCCGCTAGTCTATATATATTAAAATGCTCTGTGCATAATGAGTACCTTAAAAACAAAAGAACCAATGAACGAAATCACACCAAAATTGGCAACAAAATGTCTCAAAACACAAGGAGTGAACATCACTAAAAAATTATGATTTTGTCATTTGGGAGTTGTAGTTGCTAGGATTTATAGTTCACCTATAATCAAGAGCATTCTGAACTCCACCAACAATGGAATTGAACCAAACTTGGGACACAGACTCCCATGACTAACAGAAAAATACTGTAAGGGTTTGGTGGGCATTGACCTTGAGTTTGGGGAGTTGTAGTTCACATACATCTAGAGGGCACTGTGGACTCAAACAATGATGGATCTGGACCAAACTTGGCACGAATTCTCAATATGCCCAAATGTGAACACAGATGGAGTTTGGGAAATAGACCTTGACATTTGGGAGTTGTAGTTACTGGGATTTATAGTTCACTACAATTAAAGAGCATTCTGAAACCCACAAACAACAGAACTGGGGCAAACTTCCCACACGGAACCCCCATGACCAACAAAAAATACTTAAGGCCATCCAGTCCGACCCTCTGACACCCCCTCGCAATCCCCCCAGGGGTCCCAAACCCCAGGTTGAGAAATGCTGCCTTAAGGCCATCCAGTCCAACTCCCTTCACCAGGCAAGAAAACATAAAGCCCTCCTGACAAAGGGCCATCCAGCCATTCACACACACACACACATATGTATATGACAAGGTAGTCCCCTGACATTAAGTCCAGTCATGTCTGACTCTGGGGTGTGGTGCTCATCTCCATTTCTAAGCCGAAGAGCCAGCGTTGTCCGTAGACACCTCCAAGGTCATGTGGCCGGCATGACTTCATGGAGAAGAAGAAGTTCATCTAGACATAGATATAGATAAATATATATGATTCACACACACACACACACACACACATGTTTATGACAGATATAGTACCATGGATTTGAAAGGGACCCCTAAAGAAGGACAATCTTTACATCAGCACCGACAAAGAAACAACAATACTGTTTACCCACAAGGATAGAGAAATTACATATATTAGAAACCAACACTTTCTCATTACTTTATTTTCCAGATCACCAGACTGGGCCACAGCAATGCGTGGCAGGGGACAGCTAGTATATGTATAAATAAATTATAACTTATTAATTTTTTTATTTATTTTATTTAATTTATTTTTTAATATTTTTAATATTTTTTATTTTTATATTTTATTTATATAAATTATATTTATTTTTTGTTCATTTTCCTATCTCTCTATGAGTTCTCCTTTAAAATTAGTTCTGCCCCCTTATCTCACCCACCCTCTGTCATTCTGTTATTATGTTTAGTTCCTATGTTCTGTGTATATTGTTTTATGTGCTTTGATGTTTTATATTTTAATGTTATGTTATTTGTTTTATTGCAATTTGTATTGTTATATTGTAATTCTTGTTTGGGCTTGGCCCCATGTAAGCCGCTCCGAGTCCCCATTGGGGAGATGGTGGCGGGGTATAAATAAAGATTATTATTATTATTATTATTTCCAATATTTCCCCATCAGCTTGACTCTGAAGGAGCTGGGGGTGGTGACGGCCGACAGGGAGCTCTGACATGGGCTGGTCCATGAGGTCACGAAGAGTCGGAAGCGACTAAACGAATGAACAACAAAATGTACCGATTTTGACTTACATACACATTCAACTTAAGAATAAACCTACAGAGCCTGTCTTGTTCATAACGTGGGGACTGCCGGTGCAATAATTTCCCTCTTCTATATATCAGATTCTTTGTAGCTGATTTGTGTTTATCTTATCGGACCAGTGACTTGGAAAATTTTCTTCACACCCTTCTAATGACCTTCTTGGCCAGAATTTTGGCAGAAGAACAGATCTGCTAATATATTATGGACCTTCAATCAAGGAGAAGTGTCTGAAAATAGCAAGTCACTATCTTGAGAAAATACGCTCAGCAAAAATGCAGCAGTAGGAAAACGTCACTGGTATCATTGTTCACCTTATTAAAAGATTACCTAATTGCAGACGAGTCAAGAAGCGTACAATCGCAGTGCAGTCTTATATGTTGACCACATTTATATCCCTTCTGGCAGATTCACAGGACAAGATCTGCTCTTCTGCCATCTTGAAAACAGATATTGGAGAAAATTAAGGCCAATACTTTATTACCACTGTTTTTAAATTTGGTGCCATCATGGGCCTGGATCTGAACATCATTCAGCTTGCCTGTTGACCAATGAGCCTATTCCTAGCATATCGGGATGACAGATATTGGCATACTGTGCCAATACACTACCCCACACCCCATAATGGGACTTCCCAACTTTTTTTATCCTCTTGACAACTAAAGATCTGTATCCTTTGCTAGACCATCTGTCAGCCTTTCAAATATTTAAACATGGCAATGTCTCATCTTAATCAACATGTATCTTACCCATATAGAACAATATTTTGAGAACAATATTTTAAGACTTTTAAGGATTGTCCTCCATGGAAGCAAAAGGTAACAGAATCCAAAATCATCAGAACGCAGCAGAAATGTTGTTCTTACAAACATTTAATGCAGTAGAAAAAGAGGAAGACTGGCTGTAGATAAGTCTGTGTAGCAGGAAGGAGATAAAGCAAGTAAAGAGGATATTACATGTAAAATATGTTATTGTTAAGGAACATGGGATAGTTGTGCAACAAGCGTAAAGCAAACCAATATACAAAGAGGATGCCTGACATAGATGTGGTCGAAATGTCAGGAGATAATGCTTCTAGAACATGGCCATCACAGTAACCCAGGGATTCTGGCCACAAAACCCTTTGACAACACAGGGTATTTACTGTCTTGAGATTAGTTTTTAGATGCTTTCCCCCTAAAACAGCGTTTCTCAACATGGGGGTCGGGACTCCTGGGGGGGTCACGAGAGGGTATCAGAGGCCAAAGACCACCAGAAAACACAGTATTTTCTGTTGGTCATGGGGGTTCTGTGTGGGAAGTTTGACCCAATTCAATCATTGATGGGGTTCAGAATGCTCTTTGATTGTAGGTGAACTATAACCCCCAAATGTCAAGGTCTATTTTCCCCAAACTCCACCAGTGTTCACATTTGGGCATATTGAGTATTCATGCCAGTTTTGGTCCAGATCCATCATTGTTTGAGTCCACAGTGATCTCTGGATGTAGGTGGACTACAACTCCAAAACCCACCAAACCATTCCAGTATTTTCTGTTGATTGTGGGAGCTCTGCGTGCCAAGATTGGTTCAATTCCATTGTTGGTGGACTTCAGAATGCTCTTTGATTGTAGATGAACTATAAATACCAGCAACTACAATTCCCAAAATCAATCCCTTTCCCACCACCAACCCCACCAGTTTTCAAATTTAGGCGTATTGGGTATTTCTGCCAAATTTGGTCCAGAGAATGAAAATACATCCTGCAGATCAGATATTTATTATTATTTATTATTTATTTACAGCATTTATATACCGCTTTTCTCACTACTAGGGGGACTCAAAGAGGTTTACACATAGAAAATGGCAAAAATTCAATGCCTTACAACTACAATAGGAAAACCACACTTTAAACATATATCATATTAAAAACAGTACATCATCAA